GCTGAAGTCACCATGTGTGTTGCACAAACAGCGATCACTGTTGCAAAAGTGCTAGGAGGATATGAAGAGCAGAAGTAAGCGTATACATAACAGCTTGTGAATACAGGAAAAGATGAAAAGGGAGTTTCTGAAATAGCCTAACTGAGAGATGATCACGGTGTCACCTAGGATTGTGCTGTGGCAGTGGATAAAGCTAGGATATTTAAGGAGTGTACCCAATAGGAGATGATGATGGATTAGGTGCACAGGATGAAAGAATAAGTTTTGTTTGAGTTCTAAATAGATGGTGCTTGGAAGAATACAGGAAAAACAAGTTTTAAATCAAGGAAAAGCAATACTAATTTTAGACATCTTAATTTTGAGTTAGCAGTTAGAAACTTAATAGAAGATATTGACTATGCAGTTGGAAATATGAAATTGGAGCTCACAGTGGATACTGAAGAAGATATTTTAATTTTAGAAACCATATAAATGGAAGAGACCCCCCCCCCGCCAAGGAAAGGTAATTTAGGGAGAAAAGAAAAATCTTTTGAATTTTCCTTAAAGGGAAACTGATAATATATATGACAACAGCAATTTTATTTCTTGCTTTCTAAGGTTATTCACTTTATTTTTCAAACTTTAATTCTTAGGATTCCCAGAAAAAAATACTGAACAAAAGGGGTTTTAGTGCAATTCCATACTTGTGCCTAATATTAAAACAGCTTTTTAATACCTGTTCACAAAATTTTTTTTCCTCCAGGTTATTTTAGAGAGTACTTGCCTTAGATTAAGGACTTCTTTGATCCCAGTTTTTCAAAAGAATTTTTTTCGCTCTCTTTTTTTTAACTGTGAATGGATGTTAAATGTTCTCTCAAATATTTTTTCTGTATCCATTGAAAAAATAGGATCATTCTCTTTTAACATGATAAATTTCTGGAATAATTTCAGCTTGGTGATATATCATTTTTATTTTTTTTAAACGTTTTCAACAACTTTAATAAAGGTTGGGTGAAGGAGGATGCTGAAATCAACATTAATGGCTAACTCAGAAGCACCTCTTGGTGTCCTACCCATGTAAACGGTTCCATTTTTATCATTTAGAATCCTTCATAACTCAGAAATGGTGTTTCACTTTCAGGTCAATGAGTTCTCAAATTCTAGATGGGATGGAATCAGC